GTGGGGCAGTTCTTGGCCCAAGATGTAGATGAATATTTTGTTCTCAATGGCTTTGTTTAGAGGCTAAGACTTTTTCTTTTTGTGTTGCATATTACAGAAATATTTCAGTGTTTCCTGTCGGCCCGTGAGGTCGCTCGCAGTCGGGACCACGACAGGATGGGCACGGGCGCGGGGCCCAGAGCTGATGATCCACCCGCCCAATCCCAGCAGGAGCGGAGGATCAGCACGGATCTGACAGAAGGGCAGGATGTGTACACTGCTGCCTGCAACTCTGTGATCCACAGATGTGCCTTGCTGATCCTGGGCGTGAGCCCTGCCATCGAGGAGCTGCAGAAGCGAAGGGAGGATGGGCAGCTCCAGCAGCCGCCCTCTGCTGCTCCAGAGGGCGTCGGCCTCATGACCAGGTGGGCTGTGCTGACTCTTACACCGTGGTTAACTCTTCTCTGCTCCCTTTAGAATTGATTATACAACCCCAGTTTTCCTCTGAGCATTATTGCAGTTTTATTTGGAAGAAAATTACTGCTGAGAGCAGTGTTATGCTTCTGTTGAAAAGAGTGATTTTTCTCAATTTTTCTTGGCCGTGCTAACTAAGCCTGAAGAGTTTTATTCTGTGTGTGCCCTATTTAAGTTTGAAAGTTGAGCTTAGTGGTAAGTAGTTCAGATCACCAAGTGTACAGATAGCATGAGGTACTTTGAAAAATTTTTCATTTTTTAGTGTTTGGATTTTTTTTTACCATATTTGTGGTTTTTTGAGCCATACCAGTGTCTTATATAGTAGTGTTAAAAAAACCCCAACTGTGTATGTTTAAAACAAAAGATTCAAAGCCTATTATGACAAAAGTGTTGTTCATGATTGATTTTTACAGATACTCCTATCATAGGCATGGCTAAGACTTGTTGTAGGTGTCCTGTTTTGATATTTTAAATTAAGATATTGATGGGAAAGAGATTAAGATATTGAGGAGGAAAATTATGTATATTCAGTACCCTTTTATTCTTTTTGCCTCTTTTTGGAAATCTAGTCCCTAAAGCACGGGTGGCTGCCTCTGTCATTGTGAAAGTGGCTTTCATCTCCAGCATATCAACTTTAGGATGCATTTTTTGGGTGGGTTTTTAATAAGTTCAGTGCTTTTTCACCCACTTACTCTGTCTCTGTTTCTTGTCCTCTCAGAGTGTTTCTGTTACTCTGTGTAATCCTTATGAAGGCTCTAGAGCAATCACTCATTTGAGGTTGACATTTGTTCACTTGACCAATAAGGCTGTTAAGAAGTAACAGAATTTACTAATACCCTGTTAAAATAGAATTGAAGTAATCAGACCACTCTTTTCCTCTTTAATGTGGTCTTGTGATGTTCTGTGATAGTCTCCTCCCAAATAAAACTGTGGCAGCTGCTAAATTTGGCTATCTTACCTTTGTGTAATATCAGCATTTTTTTTCTCTGTGTGTGTGCACATGAATGTGTGTGCACCTGAAGCAGGAGTGAAAGTCTTACAGCAGAAAGCCGCTCAATCCATGCAAACTCAAGCTACAGGCTGATGAAGTCAAGAAGTGAATCTGATTTGTCTCAGCCAGAATCAGATGAGGAAGGTTATTCACTGGTAAGTAAACCAGTGTGATGTATTTAGGGATTGTCAATAGAATGTTTGGATGGGAGGTACATTTGAAACATTTGTTTAGCTGTGTTTCAGTACCTTAATTCATCATTGTTAAAAAAAAGGGTAAAAATAATTTAAAAAAATTATAGCTCTGTCAGCTGTCTCACTTTTATGGTGAGGGATGAAATGTAAATACTCTAATATTATGCACCACATATGATCACCTGAGGAAATGAGGCTTTTATTATTCTTTTAATTTAGAGTGGAAGACGAAATGTTGATTTGGATTTGGCAGCATCTCATAGGAAGAGAGGTAAGTTCTCTTGTTTACCTAGTGAGTACTGACCTGATAAATGTTAGGAGTGTCTTAAGTTAAACTATGTTTGCAATTGCATACAGTTTATAGTTACATAGCAGGTGTTAAAACTGAGCATTTAAAAACAGCATTTAAAATAATTGTTACCCACTCCATGTTGTGTGAATTTCTGTTGCTTTGTGGCTTGTTATAGTATTTCCTTGGTTATTACTCTTCACTCTGCTTTCTGCAATTGTAATGCTCTTTTGAAACAAGTGAGGTTTCCTGTTAAATGAGTCAGAAATCTGCATTCTGTTTTCACTCATGTGACTTCAGGAATAAAAAATAGTGAGAGAAGCTTATGTGGAATGTTCCATTCTTGTGCTAACAGCAAGCTTTTACTATAAAATGTGCTTGAACCTGGAGAGCTTGTATTCAGAAGACACTGCTTTACTTTGCCTCCTTTGAACACAGGCACATCTACAGAACCAAGCAGCCGCGTTTCCTGGTGCTCTTTGTTAGTGCTTCATACTGGGGAGTGTCAGTGAGCTCCCTGATAGAAGGTGGTGGAGGGACTAAAAGGTCCCACTGTCACCTGGATGATGCAGAATCTGCCTGAGAATCATGACTCAGGTCTGCTGTATCTGTAAAAAGCATGGGATTATGCAAACAGGAATTAGGTTGAGTTATGATATTCCTCACTAACAGAAGCCTCAATACTGTTGGGTAAGGTAAGAATTCTGGTTTAAAAGGCCTAATGATTGAGCAGAGTACTCAGAGGTTTCATGCCTTGAAATTGCAAAGGGTGTTATCAGTGGCAGCACTCATTAGATTTCAATATTTAATGTGGAAAGCGATGCTTTGTCCTTGCATAATCAGTTGAATCACTTGAGCAAATAAAGAAATGTATTGAAGTTGGAAGGGAGACGACCCACCTTGCATTGGTCAGCCATCGACTCCCCTTTATTCATCAATCAATCACCTTTTATAACAGTGTTAATTCACTTCATGCATATTGCAAAATCTGAGCTCACAATAGGCCAGAGATTACACACCAACCCCTCCTTATGTTTCCAATACCAAGATTTGGGTTCTCAAAATTATTCTTGCTTTCCCAAAACAGCCAAAGATAGAACATCCACTTGTTATGAGAAAGCTGCCTGAGAACTCTGATGTGCAAGGCTCTCAAGGCCTTCATGTTTGTCACCTTTACTTGTAATTAAAAATAACCTGAGAACCTCTGCTGTTCACAGAAACAGGCTGTGAGAATCTGCTCCTCACAGCTGCCTTCTAGGCCATCCCTGAAAAAATCTCCAACAGAAATGCACTAGAGCTGCTTTACTGTTACAGCAGGTGTATCATGGCATTCTCAGGGTTAGAAGATCTATCAGAAGGCCTCTGTCAACCCCTGATCTGCAGGACATTCTTTGAAGTTGGCATTTTTAGCTTTGCCATTGCTCTGACACAGAACTCTGTACTTGACATCCTCTGTGTACTAAGAGTGGCCCAGGAAATAATCTTGGGTTAAGTCTCAGGTGCAGTATGTCTCATGAATGATGGTTCCTGGACTGTTGCTTAGGCTGATGTTACTTTCATCACAAGCCTCAGGAAGTAAGGAATGCTGCAAGAGTAGACTTCAAAACTTTTATTACAGCAAGAAGATTCTCTACCAGATCTGAACACTGACAAGAAACAGGTAAATACAGTGAATCTGTCCAGAGCCGAAAAAGACGCTCAAATAGCTCATTTCCAAACTGAACACTGTCACAGCATGTACAGATGCTGCTGTTCTGGTACTGGAAGGCTTCCTTGGGAGTTAGCACACAGTAATGCAAGCTTGTGTGCTTGTGCTGGGGATGCATATGCCAGTGTTGGTTGATAACCAATGCCAGAGTCAGAGAATGCATCTATAGGAAACATTCCTCGTACTTCTGTCAAGGTCAGGAAAAGATCTACAAATGCTTGTGTGATAAATGGATGGGCTGTTCAGCTCAGTGCTTTTTATGGTCTTTTGTCTCTTGTGACATGTCTGTTCTGTTAATCCTAATTATCTCCCAGAACTGAAGCATGTCCCAGTGTTTGGTGAGGGTGTAACTTGCAGCTTTTTTGGATTGTCCACCCCCTGTCATGTGGCCAGCACAGGGCAGTGGCAGCTGTGGATGTTTGGTGACTCCCCTTCAGTTTTATCTTTATTCTTGTGGTGTGCTGGGACCAATAAAGTACTATGAGTTCCTATGGTCTTTTCGATGAGTATGGAAGGAAAAGCATTCTCTTTTAACTTCATTAACATCATAGCTACTCAATCCAATCTTTATTCTAATTACCTTCTTAAATTATTCTTTCTATTCAGAAAGAGAACTGGCTATTCCTGCTTCAGCCTGAGGATCCTTTGAGTATCTTGTTCCCTGCTATTATTCAGTTGTTTCTTTATTAGTAAACTTTTCCTTCCATACATACAGAAAAAGTCTTTTTGAGTAATTTTGCAGTAAGGGGTAATGAGCAGCACATTGCTATTTTCCCCTTGTATCTAAGCCCTTTGTTTTTTCTGTTGCTTAGATGAATTTTTTCAGTTTTGCAGATCCAGAGGGTGTGCCTGCAGGTGTTGTACATGCTGTGCACAGTGCCTGTGGGGTGCTGTACACCATGGGATGTGCACAGCAGTAAGGAAAGCACAGCCAGCAGGGCAGTCACAAACAGCTCCAGATCAGTGAGAGTCCTCCACTTTTGGCTTTTTATCATCTACAGCTTAACTCAGTGAATTCCAGTGTACTTGAGTGTACTGCTGTGCCTTACTAACACAGCTGGGGTACTCCAGAAAAAGCAGCAACTTAACTGAAATCTAAATGGAATTGAAATATTTTAGGGTACCTGTAATAATAATTCTGCCTTTGAAAATTGACAAATAATGCTTAAGGAAGGGACTTGAACCTGCAAGTCAGCATGCATACACATGAGTGCATACAGCTGTGCTACAGGGGATTATGTCTTTTTTCCTTAAAAGTGAAGAATTTAGAAAGATTGGTATCTAGGCTGTATTCATGCCAAACAAGAGTAAATATTTTTTCCACATGCCTTGCTGCTTGGTATATTGTATTAATTGAGACGAGACTGTTTAAGTCAGAATAATATAAGGCAGAGATTTTTTGAGTATGTTACCTTCTGTTTCAAATGTGTGCTTTTGTCTTCTGCTTCTTGTGTGGTGTAGTGTATTTACTCCTTTTTGGCCAGTTGAGCCCCAGAAAAAAGAAGAGCTTCAAGCAAGTAACTGATGGCATGTTTATTTTTTGTCTCTATAGCTTCCCTACATAGCTTCCTTTGTTCTATAAAATGTGCATTGCAGCTGTGCCACATTCATTTAGAAAGCTCATTATTACAAGCTGGCTTATCAGGACAAGTCAAGTTCTTGTTTTACTGTAAGCTTCAGGTTTATTCATGTGTGCAGCTCTGTCCATGTGATTGTGCAGCTTCTGGAAGCGCTGGGCTGCCATCGATTCTGTGTGATTGATGTTACACAGAATCAAGCTGAGCTCCAATGTAGTCACATATTTGATTATTCTGCTGATATGTAGTATGTTCAAGAGGGAAGAATTTACTCTGTGCCCTAATGGTTAAATATATTTAGTTCTGGAGTATTCTCCTTGATGTCTGATATTTGTGTTTAAACCCTCTCCTTTCAATTACAACTTCTATTGTTCTGCATTTAATCTGTAACTCATAATCATTGCACTTTTCTCCAAATTAGAAATATTTTTACATTGGTTTTATATTTAAACATTCTTGCATTTTGTACTGAAACAGTTAGCTGAGATGTCATAGTTTCTTCAAATATGAAATAGTTTAGGGTTTTATTAATATGTGGTTGGGCTTCTTATAAGGTTTGTTGCCTATCAAAACTAAATTTTCTTCTGATGTTCTGTAAAGCTGTTAAAGATTTCCTTTAGCTTATGATTTAAGCCACTGGAATTGGCTTTTGTTTCTTGACAAATGCTTTGGTTCTGTGTGTGGCACAGTGCAGTGTGGGCAGGTGCAGGGCAGGGAGCTGAAGTCACTGTGGGCTTTGGGCTCTCCTGCTGTGCACAGGCTGGAGGGCTGAGGGGGCTTTAGGAGAGAGCTGCTGCTCTGCAGGCAGTGTTTGTGAGCTAGGAAATGGTTTAGCTGTGCTCCTGTGAGTAATCTGAGGCTTCACTTATCCTCTCCCCTGGGCTCTGGTCACCATGCACTTGCCAGGAAACTGCTTCCCACATGAAAGCAAATATTTTAGCACCTGTTTGTTCTGTTCTGTCTTACTTCTGTTTCTCACCAGCCACTTCCCCATGTAACTTAGATTTTAAAGAAAAGCTTTAAAGCAACTATTCTAATAATTGATGTTGAAATTAGAGTAAAGGTGATCTTTTTTTTTTAAATATTATTGCCAGGTATCAATTGTAAAATTGAGTAACAGAATTTCTTTACTTTTTTCACAGTAAAGATGATAAAATAGGTTGTTCTCTGTAAACCATGTAGTCTTACTGTGTTATGTAAAGCAGCAGAGATTAGGAAATTAGATTGCACTTTGAAAAGAAGTGTTTGAGCATGATCTTTGCATTATCCAAAATAAACTTGAGTCTGTATGACCTAAGTACTGTGATGGCTCTCTCTGAAGCCATAGCAGTCTGCTTAGTAAGGAATACTATGGAAATGCACATTAACACTATTTACTGAAAACAGAATGGGATGTGAAGAGGTTTTCATAATTCGTAGCCCTGACAATTAAATTTTTGGCAACTAAGTGAAGGTAACCTGGTTGACAAAAGAGAAGCAAAATTTCAGAGTATTTTGAACTTGTAAATTGTGTGAATGTGCAAATAGTGACCTGCATGTGCTGACTCATTGGCAGAGTAACAGCAGTTTGCCTTTACTTCAGGAAAAAAGTGATGTGGGTTGCTAGGAAAGCCTGCCCAAGTTCAAAATCCCTGTGTCTGTCTTTGCTTGTTCTGTGAGCAGCTGCTGTAGGGAGGCAGCATTTAAAGGAGGCCCTGTAATTTGGATCTGGCTGCTACCATTGGAATTCAGGTTTGCTGTTGAAAGCAAGCTTTGGACAGATGAATTCCTATGACTTTGTGTGACTTTCTCTGAAAATGGCTATGTTTATTAATGTTTGAAGCTGCTACCCTGCAGAAAGATGTTTAAAACTGAAGTAATACAGATTTCTACAAGTGCTGTGAGCAGGTTGTGATTCTCCAAATTATAACTTACTGTACACAAGGTAGATAAATATTTAAACATTTTTTGTACATTATGTAAATTATTCAAACTAAAATTTCAAAGTGAGTGTAAACACAGTTTAGGTTTCCACAGAGGTCTCCAGACAGTCTCTCTGTACAGATGGGAAGTTCTTCTGAGCCGGGTGTGCCCTTTTGTAGTACTTAGCATGGCTCCACGTGGGCAAACAGCACTTACAAAGTGAGGAAAATACTGACTGATGCCTATCAATTAACTCCTAATGAAGTTATGGCTCATTTGTGCCAGGGAGGGAGTTCTAGCAAAACTCTCTTGGAAATTGGATCAAACCTATGGTGATAAATTCCAGTTTCAGCTGCAGAATGATGGCTGATGCTCATTTGAAGAAGTCCATTTATTAGTGGTAGTAAAGTTTCAGGTAATGACATGCTGGTGATAGGAAATACTTGAAAATAGACTTGTGAAACTGCCAGATTGCAGAGATCTAACACTTATTCTAGAAGTGTTTTAATAAACATGGGTCTATCTTGAGGCAGAGTTCTCTTTAGTCTGAAAAACTTTCTGTTCTCTTCTGCAGTCATGAATTTTGCAAATATTTCATTCAAATAGCATTGTGCTTTTTCGAAACTATGAAATACAGTGGCTTGATTAAAATCCACTCTTGCTTTATGTTTAAACCTCAGAGGAAATATCCAAATGCATAAGTTATGTTGGTAGAAAATCTTTTCTTTACTGTTATGTCATTTAGCTGCAAAGCATTTTTTATTCAGTGTTCCAGCTTTAAGCTGAGCAGTTTGAGTGGCTTCTTTTTGTTTTTTTTTTTTCACATGGCAGCTTGTTAAAATAGTGCTGAACATTTAAAAGAAATACAGCCTTTTCTTTAGGGAAATTGCTGTAAATTTAAATCAAGTGTTTTGCTCTAAGTTGCTTAATGCATGGTATAAATAACATGAATATTCATTTTCCACCTGTGTCAGTAGCAGCAGCTCAGTCTTTACCTATTGCCAGAATGTGTTACCTGAATTGGGGTTGATGAGACTTCCTTGTGTGTGTCTTTAGGAGCAATACACAGCCAAATGGAATCTCTGAGTGACTCTTGGGTTCGACTGAAACACAGCAGAGATTGGTTGTACACATCCTCCTACTCATTTGTTGAGTCCGATTTTGACCTCTCAAGATCCCTTGGAGTTCATACCTTGATTGAAAACGCTGTCAGTTTTGTAAGTGGAGATGTGGGAAACTCCCCAGGATTTAAGGAACCAGAGGAAAGTATGTCCACCAGTCCACAAGCATCAGTAATTGCAATGGAGCAGCAGCAGTTGAGGGCTGAGGTAACTTTCAGTTTAACAGCTCTTCTTATTCTTCATACATTATGCTCATTCTAGGAATTTTTTTTAAACAGCATCCATTAAAGTAATTAAAGTAATTTTTGCTGCTTTTCTGTTAAATATCATAATTGGAACTGGGAATGTTATGTAAACAAACTAAAACAAAACTGAAAGTGTTCAAACAAAACTGAAAGTGTTCCCTTTAAAAAAAATATATGAAGGAGAAAACAGTGGCCTCATTCATCTTTGCTTACAGTTCAGCATAATCCACTTTCCATTTCTGAGGGTACTGGCTATTTAGTTAATATTGTCTTTTGCCTGCCTTTATTTTTAGCTTCGTCTGGAAGCACTTCATCAGATTTTGGTGCTTCTGTCAGGAATGGAGGAGAAAGGCTGTGTGCCATTAATGGGAAGCCGCCAGGTGCCAGGATTTCAGTCTTCTTCTCTGCTTACTTCTGTGAGACTCCAGTTTCTTGCTGGCTGCTTTGGTCTGGGCACTGTAGGACATGCAGGGGCCAAAGGAGAGAGTGTAAGATTGCATCACTACCAGGTGTGTACTTAGCAGTTTCTGCTGTTTCAATAACCCAATGATAAAAATATCTCAGTATTTATAATAGTTATTTGTTTGTTTGGCCCAGGATGGTATCAGAGCAGCCAAGAGGAGTATTCAGATTGAAATCCAGGTGGCTGTGCACAAAATTTACCAGCAATTATCTGCTACTTTAGAAAGAGCTCTGCAAGCTAATAAGCATCACATAGGTAAGTGAAAAGCAAATTTGCAAACCAGATGTTCTCTAATGTACAGTAGAACAGCTTGTATGCTTTCCAAGGCAGACTTTGATATTAGTGACCAGAATTCACTGAATTACCTATCTGACTTCTTTTCCTTAAAGAGAAATCTGCATTGGTTGGTAGAATCCAGTGGCTGTTATTACCTGGGTCGTTTTGGTGTGTCACTTAGAGAAACAATGTGAAAAAAGTCCAAAATGAAGCATTTCACCCAGTTATCCTTGTCTTAGAGAGAAGATTCTGGTTTGAGTTTTAGCCTCAGAACATTTAATCACAAACTAGATCTGCGTGCTGCTCTTTCTTGGACAGTTTTGACACAGAGTTACACTGAGCTAAAGAAGAATGCAGTGGTTCATCAGAAAGACTACCTCAAAGCATCTGACAAAACTCACCTTTTCTTTGAAAATTTAATTAATTAAATTATATTTTAAAAATAATTTGCTGATCTTCTGTCATAGTATTCTTACTCTGAACATCTTATTAATTAAAAACAACTTTATTTTAATCTTAGAAGCACAGCAGCGTCTTCTGTTGGTGACAGTGTTTGCTCTCAGCGTGCACTATCAGCCTGTGGATGTGTCCTTGGCCATTTCCACGGGGCTGTTAAATGTGCTGTCCCAGCTGTGTGGCACAGACACCATGTTGGGGCAGCCCCTGCAGCTGCTGCCCAAAACTGGGATTTCTCAGCTCAGCACAGCTTTGAAAGTAGCCAGCACAAGACTGCTGCAGATCTTGGCTATCACCACAGGGTGAGTGTCCCTTGCTTTTGTAAACATCATCACCGAGCTTATCAGCACCCTTGAAAAATGTGTGAGCTTTCATTAGAACAGTAAATGTTGCTCAGAAATATAGAAGTGAAGGGGGTGGGGGGAAGAGTACTTACATTATTCATAGGAGAGATACATGTAAGGCTAACAAATATTTTTCACTTGGAGTGTTTGAACTTTAATAGTCACAACTTAGTGATCTGTAAACACTGTATTCTTGTAACCCCCACTTTGCTACGTCAGCTCTGTGTGGAGGTGTGTCCAGTTGATGGGATTCCTGTTGCTGTGGAAAAGCAGCACTGATAATGTGAGAGTTTCTCGGAGCAGGACTTAGTGCTTCTTGCCAGAATATGAAAGAATTTTCTGAGGAATAGTGCTAGACCAAGGGACAGCATGCAAAGTCCTTGCAATACTTAAATATTTATTCTTGCTCAGTAAAGAAAACACAAGTGGAGAAGGTGTTTTCTAGTTGAAGTGAGAGTATTGTTTGATGTTCAGTACATGCACCTTCTTTTCAGTCTTTGTACAACACATTGCATCTACCTGCCAAATCTGTTATCTGAAAAAGCCCAATAATCCTATACCAGAAAAATCCCCCAAACAGCACCCTGTGTATAGAATTGCAGTGGAATTATGTTTAATTAATAGAGTTGTTCCTCTTTACCCTAGAAAGTATTGGAAACTTATCCTTTGACTCCAAAGATTAGGACTGTTTTCATTTGTGTTAAAAACAGGATTAAAATAATAAGAAGAATTTAAGCCTGTAATGGAGGATAGGAAAAAGTAACCTTCTGCAATTACTGTTCCTTAGATCAGCTCTCAAGTACTCCTGATTTTCTTTTTGTGTGTGTACAGAACCTATGCAGATAAACTGAGCCCAAAGGTGGTGCAGTCCTTGCTGGATTTATTGTGCAGCCAGCTGAAGAACTTGCTGTCACAAGCTGGTGTGATGCTGATGGCTTCCTTTGGAGAAGGGGAAGGTGAGGAAGGCGAAGTGGAATCAAAAAAGGCAGATTCAAATGGGGATAATGAGAAGAGAGACTTCAGAGGTAATTATCTTACATAATTTCTGTAACAATTCTGAAATACCAGCAAACATAATAGAAGAAAGCACTGAATGCTGAGGTGCTCATCCACTCTCTTGTGTATTCGTTTTTGTTGGGTCGTTTTTAATTCTGTAAATTAGATTAAAGTCATCAAATGATTTTGTGCTCAATTCAGATTTACACAGAATTGATGCACAAAACTACAGGGATAGAAGCAGGCTGAGAATAAGAATTACTTCATTGTGCTTGGAATTAGGAAGAGAATATAGTTTTCCTTAAAAAATGAGTTGGTGGTCGTAGTGTTTGTCATAAATGTAGTAATAGGAATTTAATTATCTAAATTAATAAATACTGCTTTATTCAGGAAATTATTGTATTTGATTTGTATTATGCAGTTTTGCAGTCCAGGAGGATAGCAAGAAGGTGACACTACTGTGTCATATGGGAAAAACCACAACAAAAGATTTCAGTATTTTCTGAAATACTGGTATCTTCACATAGCTTACAATCCCTTAATGAGCATTTTGAATTTTGGTGGAAATTGCTTTTGAAGAATTTTTAGTTGTAGCTTGGTTTTAAGTGTATATATAATGTTTTTGTTTGTGCTTTTAACTGTCTTCACTTTAAAATAATGCAATGTCTGATGAATTAGTAAGGTAATTAATCAGGAATTAGAATATGAGGTCTTCCCACAGAGATCTCCCTCCCTTACCTTGGCCCACAAAAGTTGAATGTTTTTTTCTCTCCATGTCTTGCTGAGGAGCAGGAGTTGAGAGCACAGCCTGGTGGGCACCAGCCAGCCAAGGTTAACAGCCAGCCACCCTGGAGTAACTGATCATTGTGCTTTTACCTGCAGAACAGGTTGCTCCTGGTAACCAGGACTGCCAGTCAAGTTGGAATATTAAGGCTGTGAATGAAAACTTTTGCTTTAATTTCCTAGCTGCCCTCCGAAAGCAGCATGCAGCAGAATTGCACCTGGGAGACTTCCTTGTTTTCCTGCGTAGAGTTGTGTCTTCAAAAGCAATTCAGTCCAAGATGGCATCTCCAAAGTGGACAGAAGTCCTTCTTAACATTGCTTCCCAGAAGTGTTGCTCAGGTATGATCATGTCAAAATGTGCTCCATGGTTACTTTGCATTTCTGTAGTAGAGTTCCAAAAACTAAGCCCTGTGAGAGCTTGTATTGCATAGTGAGTTCCTGGTGAACACTTCAGACCAGCTGCAGTGTAGCTGCACAGGGGTTGCACTCTGGGGCACTGGAGGCACGGAACCAGGGGCAGGCCTGAAGCTGAAGTAATTTGAAGGTTATTGACATGTTGTTCCATCTCCAGGAGTTCCCTTGGTTGGCAATTTGAGGACCAGACTGCTTGCACTTCATGTACTGGAAGCTGTGTTACCTGCATGTGAATCTGGCGTTGAAGATGATCAGATGGCTCAGGTCTTTATATTTTGTTATGAACTTTCACATTTCCTCAAAAATCTCTTAAACTGCTACATGTTTCAAAATCCAAGTCAAACAAGGCTCAGTGTAGTTACTTGTTAATCTAAGAACACTAAATATTTTGATGTTTATACCTACAAAGCCAAGTAAAACAATATAGTGTTGCTGTTGTCCTCATGTTGGTGTTAAAATGATCTGAATTGTGTCCCAATGCCCCAGGTTGTTGAGCGGTTGTTCTCACTTCTGTCTGACTGCATGTGGGAGAGTCCAATAGCCCAGGCCAAACATGCAATTCAAATAAAGGAGAAAGAGCAAGAAATAAAGCTCCAGGTAACTGTGCTTGTACTTTGTCTTGCGACTGAATGCAGCTGAATTACATTTACCACAGATATTTTGTTCTATTTCTCGTAGAAGCAAGGAGAATCTGAGGATGAAGATGAGAATCTTCCCATCCAGGAAGTGTCCTTTGATCCTGAGAAAGCTCAGTGCTGCATAGTGGAGAATGGGCAGATTCTAACTCATGGAAGTGGAGGCAAAGGATATGGCTTAGCTTCCACTGGAGTTACTTCTGGGTGTTACCAGTGGAAGGTGGGTTGCATAAATGTGTATTTCTTACCTTCTCTCTCATTGTTTTGGAAATGTGCTATGTTTTATTAACAGCACCTGCCTGTGTTTTTCACTTATGACACGATTCTTGAGTAAATGGCAGTGTTACTTTATGGCTGGACTCAATAATTGTAAGGATGTTCTCCAACCTAAGTCATTCTGTGATTTTTCAGTGCCAAGGGAAGAGTTTGTGTCTGCTTGTGAGTGGTGGGATTTGAGTATTTCAGCATGCAGATTGCAGACTGTGAACATGTGTTATGTGTTATTAGAGGTAATGGTAGTTGCCCCTAAGGTCCACAGTCAGCATGCATGTGCAGTTTTGCAAAACTTACCTACTGAATGACATAGATTTAGGATTTTTTTTGTAGAAACACATTTCAAAAAACATGTTGTTTTCCTGCAAAAAAAGACACACCAGCCTGACTGACGAGAACAGTGTTAAATACATCATTTGGAGGGATTTTTAAATGGTTTTAGCATATAAACTTACTGTTTTTCTCATTAAAAGCTTCTGTGAAAAACAGTTAAAAGTAGACATCCATATGTGTAAGGAAGATTTTCATTGCTTTGTTGTGTTAAAGTGTGTATTCCTGATGTTTTTCCCTGTGTTTGTTTTGCCTGTTAGTTCTACATCGTGAAGGAGAACAGAGGCAATGAAGGCACCTGTGTGGGGGTGTCTCGCTGGCCCGTGCACGACTTCAACCATCGCACTACCTCAGACATGTGGCTCTACAGAGCCTACAGTGGCAACCTGTACCACAATGGAGAGCAGACTTTGACTCTGTCAAGCTTCACCCAAGGAGATTTCATTACATGTGTGTTAGATATGGAAGCAAGAACTATTTCCTTTGGTAAAAATGGAGAGGTATTTAACATAATAAGTTTTTTGGTGGGTTTTCTTGCAAAGGTAATATGGCATGGATAAGCGTGAGAGTTAAAACATTTGGCAGTTTCAGTACTTAGAAGATTTATAATACAAACATAGCTTTCTCATGTTTCATATTTTTGCTTGTTAGGGTGTTCTAAGATTGAGGGGTTTTTCTTTTGCTTCTTCCCTAGGAGCCAAAACTAGCTTTTGAAGATGTGGATGCAGCTGAGTTATACCCTTGTGTTATGTTCTATAGCAGTAACCCAGGAGAGAAGGTAACTGAAGTGTTCATCTGTGGAGGTTACTGGTTTAGACTGGTATAGAGTCAGTATTCATCAGAGCAGCCTGTATGGTGCTGCTTTGCATTACTGACCAAAACAGTGTTGCTAATACAGAGTGCTTCAGTTATTGTAATCTATTGTAAATTTAAAATGAATTTTAGTATTTAGAATAGATTTAAAGGCTTCATGTTCTACACAAAATATTCTGTTCCCCAGAAACCAAGGAGAGTGTAGTATTAGGATTTCTAGATAGTCTTGTGTGAGAAACCATGAAATACTCAGCATCCTTGAGTCTGAAGGATGGAGGTTTTACTCACTGTTAAGGTGGATTTTCCTAAGGATTCTGAGGGAAAAAAGACAGTGCTAGTAATTATTTCTATTCCAGGCCACTCCAGTATTTATAAGAAGAGCTTATTGAGGTATGTTGAGAAGATAATTTGTAAACTGTTGTCTTTAAACAGGTGAAGATCTGTGACATGCAGATGCGTGGGACACCAAGAGATTTGCTGCCTGGGGATCCCATCTGCAGTCCTGTTGCTGCAGTGCTGGCAGAAGCCACCATCCAGCTCATTCGAATCCTGCACCGCACAGACCGCTGGACACACTGCATCAATAAAAAAATGATGGAAAGATTGAATAAAATCAAAACATGTCTTAAGGAAGCAGGTCAAAAACTGAAGAAAAGTCGCTCTGTTCAAAGCCGAGAAGAGAACGAGGTGAGAGAGGAGAAGGAGAACAAAGAGGAGGAGAAAAGCAAGCACAGCCGCCATGGGCTGGCAGAGCTGTCAGAGCTGCAGCTGAAGATGCTCTGTGTGGAGGTGTGGCCTGTCCTGGCAGTGATTGGAGGAGTGGATGCTGGGCTCAGAGTTGGAGGCCGATGTGTGCACAAGCAAACGGGCCGTCATGCCACCCTGCTGGGAGTGGTGAAGGAGGGCAGTACCTCTGCCAAGGTCCAGTGGGATGAAGCAGAGATTACAATCAGGTATGCCCATTTCCTGCATTTTCTGCTGTGTCGTGGTAGTGGTTTGTGGCTGGCAATCCTCAGAAGAAACCTCTGATATAAAATCCTTTATATCAGAGTCATGCTGATCAATTGCTTCAAGTGTAGACTTCAGTGGTATTGAAACTAATGCTGCCTTGAGGTAGTGTGCACTCATTCTCCCACCTGCCTTCGAGTGTTCAAGGCTGGGAGGAGATGCTTCTTTTTCCACCCACCTTGCAGACAAGCCTTCAAAGGGAAAGCACCTGGAAGGAAGCTGAAATGAAGCTTCTCTGAGCTACTTGGTGCTTTCACAAGCATTGCCTGTGCATTTGTGTGGAAAAGATTTGATTAACTTAGTTTCTTGAACTCCTTCTGCCTACAGCTGAAGAAGTCTTTTGAAGAAATTGAGCAGTGACTTTTTGTTTTTCTTTTCCCTGCTGGTTACAATTACATTCTGAAATAACTGAAGTTTTAATAACTTCGCTTTTCAAGCTGTTGCAACATTATGTCTGTTTTGTCTTTGCAAAGGCTGTGGTTCCTTTGACTATACCAAAGTACAGTTAATTTAGTTCCAGGTATAAATTCTTTCAAGTATGCCGATGTGACGGTGTAGCCCTTAAAATAATTCAAAGTTTTATTTGAATAATGTGGAATAGCACTTGATCATAAGCAAGCTTTTGATAATGCATTTAATTAGGTTCATTTTTCACCTTTTTAATTAAAACCAGGCTAAAGCTTGCTTTCATTTTTAGATAAAAGTTTACAATGTAAGATTGGAAAACTTTTTGGGATAATAAAAGGAAGATTTAAAAGTCATTTATCTGCTGGATGTATGGAAAATACAAGGTGTATGAAAATACAGGCTGGTGAATTTTTGTCCTGCTTCAAGTGAAAATTAGTCAAGTGTAGCAGTCCTAAATAGTACCAGAAAATATCCCTGAATATAGATGGACAGGTAGATAATCATGTAAACATGTCTGTTAGGATTTCTGACCTGTGTTTTTAAAGGTCACTGTCCTCACTGGGTGCTCTGCCCTGACACACAGAGACAGAACTGTCCTGGGCTCTCAGTAGTGTGCTTGTGGTGATGAATAGCTGAGGTCAATCAAAGCTTTTCCTTACTGTTTAAAAGTTTTCTTTATCAGCTTTTGTACCTGATAAGATTCAGGTATGATGATAATATTTACCTTCAGATAGTTTTTCTTAATAAAAGTCTGTTACATATTTCTGATAAGTAATATATCCAGAGCCCGTGTTAGCACAGAGTGGATAGTTTCTGTGGGGCTTCTGGGTTTCAGTGCTTGTTATTGAAAACCTGTGTATGCTTTGTTGCATTTGCTTTGAAACCACATCTCCCTGTTTTCTGATCATAACCTCATTTTCCCCTGTTTGCATTTAATTTTTAGAATTAGTTTGTTTTATTAAATATATTTTGCATCTTATTTGCCTACATTACTTCCTGAACTTTCCTTCTGTCTCTCCCTCACTTGCTTTTTCCTGTGTCATTCTGATCTTTATTAAAGCTTCCCAACTTTTTGGTCGCCTAGTGATACTCCGTTGTATAATCTGGAGCCCTGTGAGCCACTGCCTTTTGATGTTGCAAGATTTCGTGGGCTGACAGCTACTGTGTTACTGGACCTTACCTATCTGACTGGCATTCATGAAGATACGGGAAAGCAAAGCACCAAGAGACACGAGAAAAAACACAGACATGAATCTGAAGATAAAGGGGAAATGGACCAGAAAATGGAGGGTGACACTGGATCAGATACACGATTAGGCCAAAGTGCTGATGATAACAAAGGACACGGTGCTACAACCTCTAAGTCGGAAAATGAAATTGTTTCCTTTTCTCTAGAACCATCAACACTAGGTATGGAATCCCAACACCAGCCTGCTGAAGGAAGAAAAAAGAATCACGAGCACACCCCACGAAGTCACGATATAGTGCAGTCAGAAATCCGAGCTGTACAGCTGTCTTACCTTTATCTTGGTGCTATGAAGTCCCTTAGTGTTCTTCTCAGTTGTAGTAAGTATGCTGAGCTGCTGTTGATCCCCAAAGTGCTGGCGGAGAACGGGCACAACTCGGACTGCGCGGGGTCGCCGGTGGTGCACGAGGACGTGGAGCTGCGCGCGGCGCTGCAGTTCCTGATGCGGCACATGGTGAAACGCGCCGTCATGCGCTCGCCCATCAAGAGAGCGCTGGGGCTGGCCGACCTGGAGCGGGCACAGGCCATGATCTACAAACTGGTGGTTCATGGGCTGCTGGAGGACCAGTTTGGTGGCAGACTTAAACAAGGTACATGTTCAAAATGAGATTGAAATGAATGGTAACAATGATAACACAGTTAACGTAGTCTTGTCGATTTGTAGTGGTTGTACTTTGGGGGAATCTTAATTGGACAGAGAAATTTTACACAACTCTGTTTACTGTTTTATAGATATAACACTGGGTTTTTTGGCCTTTTTCCTAATTCCTTATCCTAATAAAAATGAATGCACAGCAACCAGAACTAAGTTTTTAATGTCTTTAACATTTCTAAAAGTGGTCAATGCTCTGTATACTTGTCAGAAGGCTTTGCAACTCTTCTAAACCAACAATAAAAACCCCTTAAAAATGCTACTTGCACAACTGAGTTAAAAATAGGTTTATAGTTGATCAGCTGTACTTTTATCTAAGACCTCTTCCTCTTTTGTCTGTTTTGAGAACAATCCAGGCTGTTACAACCATAAATCTGAATATTATAAACTTTCACATAAGTAAATGGTTTGTTTGCTGTTTACCTTGCATTCCTGTGAGAACAGCAAGAGCTCCTGGACTGATTTCTTTACTCAAGTCCATGAGTTAGTGGCAGAATCTGCACACCCCTTTCTTTTTCTAGGATGAATTCTAAATAACAGTAGTTACTTTTGAAAGTTTAGCCATGGCTACTGTTTTGATCTGCACAATGAATGTTGCTGTAACATCCTTATTTTTCTGTTGCAGAAGTGGAGCAACAAGTAGAAGAAGGTGATCAGTCTCAGCAAGCCCAAACACCAGTTACAACCAGCCCTTCTGCTTCTAGCACAACATCTTTCATGAGCAGCTCTCTGGAGGATACCACCACTGCTACTACTCCAGTGACTGATACAGAAACAGTTCCAGCATCAGAATCACCTGGTGTTATGCCTCTCAGTCTGCTGAGGTAAAAAATCCTTTTAGCTTGTATGATTCTGTGGGTGTAGGGAACCAGTTGCATGGTTTAGGTAGAATATATGGCTTCAGCTGACTAAGCCCTTAAAAATGCTGCCAAGAACTGCCCCTGCAGAGGGACACAGTTTAAATGTTACTTTGCCTTGCAGGGTATGTGTTTTTTATTAGAAAGCTGCTAAGCCTTTGCTATACACTGATTATAAATGTAATATCTGAATTCTTTAAAAAGGAGAAAACTGTTCTCCTTAAGCTGTTCTTCAGTTCTCATGTTTATTTGGTGTAGTTTAAATTACAAATCTCTGAAACTCATTTTTAGTGAACACTTGATTCTCAGACCAGCATAGATCTTGGTAGGTAACATGGTGTAAAGCTAAGATGTTCTTTCAGCTTACCCTGACATACTGAAATGGAAGATAAGCCACTGAATTTGCAGAGGCAGTTTGCACTGTTGAAGGAGATCTGCTTTACCTTGCATAGAATATGTTTCTAAATTTATTAATTCATAGAAGTTTTGCAGACATCTTTTGATAAAAGCCAGAACAATGTCTTCATACTATGACAGTGAACATCAAATACTTAACCTTAGTAAGTCACCCTTAATTTATTAGTCAGCCTGAGTTCTGAACAAACCAGGGGAATGGAAGAAGTGTTTATATTTTATCTCCTAGGAGACCTCCTGGTCTCTGAGGGATTTTTTTAATGTCATGCTTAGAACTTAAGTGTAGAGATAAAGTTGGTAGGAATGAGCTGTTTCCTCCAAGTATGTGTTGTGTCTTACCCTTACTCAACTCAATTGCATCAAGTAGGATTTGCCAAGTGCACTCCAATTGGATGTACTTCTTGTGTCAGACCTTTTTCAGCACAGTTCTGTTCAACATAAATGTATATTGTTCTTTTTTCAAGGCAAATGTTCTCCAGTTATCCTACCACAACTGTACTTCCAGCACGACGTGCTCAGACTCCTCCAATATCTTCTTTACCAACATCTCCTTCAGATGAAGTTGGAAGGAGACAAAGTTTGACCTCTCCAGACTCCCAGTCTGCAAGGCCTGCCAATCGCACAGGTAAACTTGTCACTGGAGAGAAATGGGAACAAGTCAGGAAGGTCACAGGAGCTCAGGGGCCATGTTCTGAGAGATGCAAACCCAACAGAGGCTCTTCTGAAGGCAAACGAACATGCTAAGCATTGTTGGAAACCTTTTAGTCACTATCTTAGGAAAAAGGTTACAGATTATATAGCTGTAGGCTTTATCAAGGAAACAAAATGAGTTTTTAAAAGCTGTGGGTTGGATTAAAAAACAATAATGAAGTGTAATCGGTAACTGCTTCAAAATGTTCATCTGATTTGGGCTTGTTTACTTGGTTGTGTGCTGCTGGTAAGTGCACTAATTTTCTAGCTTATGTTAGATCACATACCACACAGAAAACAAGAATTTATGTATTTTATGGTACATTTGCCAGTACTTTTACTCTTGCCCTTATATCTGTGCTATTAATTGGGGTGTGTAGTGGTTCATGTGTTGCATAGCAACTGATCCCCCAGTTTCATGTCTCTTTTTTTTTCTTTTGATTTAATGATGAGATGACTTACTTCTAGTTGTGATAGTGTCTTTACAACAGTGTTTGTTTGTTAGTGCATTTTTGTCTTCACTGATTAGACATCACTTTTATGGCAAGTCAGAAAGAAACTGTGGGTTTGGGGCAGTAACTGACCTCTTCAGAGTCCCTTGAATGACTCTGCACAGGATCACAGCCATCATCCAACAAGAGGTTTTTCAGATACATTCTGAGTTCAGCTGAGGTCTTTTTCTGTACCTTAAGAGGAATGTGTAATGGTCTCACCACTTGGGAATCTCTGATTTGGACAAGGATAACTTTATCTGGCTACCTTAATATGGATCAAATAGATAATTTGATACAGTTCAAAATGAAAACAATAGAAATTGCTTAAACAGTCTTTTGCATATCATCAGTATCCTACTTGATCAAACTGAGTCAGTGAACATAATCTATGTTACAAAGAGGAATGACCTCAGTCTGGTTTTGTTACACAAAGTATCTTATTTTGTGGAAAGTAATTGAGACAAAAGCTGGGAGTAATTATTTCCTTAGTTCAAGCTGATATATCAAAGTAAGGTGTAATAAAGTAACACCAGAGAAAGATTTATGTGCTTTACAGTATCATTTTCTGTCTTTTAAGCTTTGTCTGATCCAAGCAGCCGACTTTCAACATCCCCTCCTCCTCCTGCCATTGCTGTTCCCTTGCTGGAAATGGGGTTCTCCCTCAGGCAGATTGCAAAAGCTATGGAAGCTACAGGTAATCTTTAGCTATAATATCAGTTTAACTGAAAGACTGGGTACACATGAAATGCTTGTTTTCCAGTAGAATACTTAATTTTTAAGTTTTATAACCATTTCTGTGAAAAAACAGATGGCTTTTTTTGTAACCATCAGTGGTAAAATACAGTTCCAAAGTGTGGTTTTCCTGCTTTCAGGTGCCAGAGGAGAAGCAGATGCACAGAACATCACAGTGCTGGCCATGTGGATGATTGAGCACCCTGGCAATGAGGATGATGAAGAGCCTCAGTCAGAGGGGACTGCAGAGTCACGGCACGGAGCAGTCGTCTCTGGCAGCAGTGGGAAATCTGGGGATCATTGCTATTTGCAGTCTCCAGGGGATATCCCTTCTGCTGATGCCCCTGAATTGGAGGAGGGCTTTAGTGAGAGGTAGAGGAATTTTCTTGTAATTGCTTGTAATCTGTTTCCTGAAACTGGAAATCTCACAAATTCATTGTTGCATTATTTTGTAATGCAGCTTTTGAATTTTGTTACAGCATGAGCAGAAGCAAAGATGCAATTAAATTAGGTGCACATGGTGCATTTGTTTTCCTGTGCTGTTTGCTTGCCGAACTGGGAACGATTGTAACTCAACATGTTTTCTTCACAGCAAAAAAAGCAAAGAATGAAAAAAAAAAAAGAGGGCTGATAGTATAGTTGTATTTTAGCTAAAAGACCAAATATTAAAGCAAAATTCCATTAAAGTCGTGTTTTGCCAAATTCACGTGTCAAAGGTGAATTGACTCAGCCAGCAACAACAGAGATGATTTTATTTCTTCAAAAGAGGAGAGAAAACTAATTCAAGCTGATTAATTAACTATTCAAGCTACTAATTAACCTAGTATAGAATGAGTGCTCTCTCAAAACTTCTGCTGTGCTTAGGCCCTCTGGAAGATCAAGTAGGTGTTGACTTCGCTGCATCTGATTTGTTTGAAGTAACTCTTACAGTCAAAACTGTATATATGTGCTCCTTGAAACTGAAGATTCTCGAATTTCTTTTTTTTCCTTCCATTAAAGAAAGGAAATATTGCTAGTATATATGACTTAGTTACTGTGTGTGGTTGTTTGAAACTTGGTTTAATTGACCTGTAAATTGCCAATTCCTGTAGCCCTGATAACCTGGATCACGTGGATAACGCGGCTGCAGCGAGCGGCCCTCCCTCTCGAAGTCGGTCAGCTGTCACACGGAGGCACAAATTTGATTTGGCTGCCCGAACGCTGCTGGCACGTGCTGGTAAGGGACTGAAAGAATTCCAAGGGCTTCACTTATCCAGGAAATGAATAGGAAGGGGACTGGGACTTTGCATGACATTCAGACAACTCCTTCTTATATGTGTGCCAATGTATAGTTAAGAGTTTTATGTTCAGCACAAGAGTTTAAACAATGTATATTTAAAATTGTTCAGCAGAAGACTTAAAACAAAAAAGAAATTGCAAGTACAGCCAGCTCTCTGCCATGGAAAATAAAAGTCCTGCTTTCCTTTTTCTCTCTCTTCCCACCTTGAGCGGGATTGTACCGCTCAGTGCAGGCCCACAGGAACCAGAGCCGCAGGGAAGGGATCTCCTTGCAGCAAGATCCAGGGGCACTCTATGACTTCAACTTGGATGAGGAGCTGGAGATCGACCTTGATGATGAAGCAATGGAAGCTATGTTTGGGCAAGACCTGGCTAGTGATAATGATATTCTGGGAATGTGGATCCCAGAGGTACTGGATTGGCCTACCTGGGTGTGTGTGACTGCAGCAGGGGCTGCTTTAACTTACTGCTTTTTGCATGCCTATATTTTCAAGTTTAAAGCAACATGTGTATGTTTAGAGCCTCTTTGAAAGTATCTTACTAAATGCCAGCAGTGCTTAAAATCATCTTATATTCTGCAGTATCATCTCTAGGTTAAGAATAGTGATTTCTTGTGTTTCTTGCTCTGCTTTTCCATGTGTAGTTGTCTTCTCCCTCCCCTGAAAGATGAGAGCAGAACTCGTATAGTTATTCTGATAATACCAATTAGAAATCAAATAAGTGTTCCTAGATGGTTTAGTTGTGTGAGATAACAAGGACAGTAATAAATGTTTCTTCTGCTGCTATTGCTAACAGTATCTAATCTCTAGCAATATAATTTGCACTTCAGTCAGTTTTTCTTGTGTCATGTAGTCCATTCTCTGAGAAGGATGTGGTGACAGTCCTCACTGAATTTTTCTGTAGAGCACTAAATAAACTGTTGAGGTGGAAAACAAAGATAATAACAGCACTTTGATAATCTTTGGATTATCCCTGTCAGATTAGACAGTCAACCCGTAAGACTCAGCTTTTCATCTCCTAGTTACGATGCTACCTAGCTTTGATATGGAAGCAAGTTGCATGATGCATATTGAATTTTTCAGAGTGTTTGTGTCACTGAAACATCTCAGTGAAATTACTGACTTAGGACAGAAGTGTAATTATGAAAAGTGGACTTCACATTGAGATAAAACCTTGATATTTGCTGACACAAATGGTAATTTTGATTGCCCAGTAAATGTAAAATCTGGTTGTCTGAAAGCAAAAAAGGATTCTTTTAATTTTTAGCTCTAGTTTCAGACAAGTTCTGAGGAGAACCAGATACAGACAGTGTTGAATGTGACAGTGTTACAAATGAAAAGTTACACTGTCAAGAATTCTTGAGTCAATCTAACATGAAATAGGCTTCTCCGAAGCTTTATTTTCAAATGTTTTTCCTTTTCTGAGATGGTTTTCATTATGTCATAAATTGTTTGTTTCTGCTTTACTTTGGTACAAGTCAACCATATGACTATCACTCAGTGACAGAAATGTGCAGGGACACCCACCTAAGGTTATTGGCATGTTTTATATCTAAGGCACAGACACTTCTTCTGTCCAAATAACGTGTGAAAACCTTGCTGTGCAGCACGTGTGTGAATCTGAAGATAGAGAAGAGGTGGTGGTTTGTGAGCTGTGTGAATCCAGCGTGGTCAGCTTCAACCAGCACATGAAGAGGAACCACCCTGGCTGCGGGCGCAGCGCCAACCGCCAGGGCTACCGCAGCAACGGCTCCTACGTGGACGGCTGGTTCGGCGGCGAGTGCGGCAGTGGCAACCCCTACTACCTGCTCTGTGGAATCTGCAGAGAGAAATACCTGGCCCTCAAGAGCAAATCTAAAATATCAGCCTCTGAAAGGTACAGAAATAGGAGACAGTGGATAAGGAAAGGAAACTAAGCATGGTTACGAGCCATCAGCATTTTAGGGATTTGATTTAAGAGAGAATTCCTAGCAGGATTTTCTGATACTTAAAATAATTCTCTGTGTTTGACAAATGCATATTTAGAAAAAAAATGTTGCTTTGATATTTTAGTTTCTAAATTAAGAAGAAGGAATCATTCCTTGGAATGTTGCCTCCTTCTTAGTGACTTTTGAAAGCTCTTAATCAATTTTGTCTGAAAATTCCAGTATTTTTTTCTGTGGACTTTTTATACATTAGTACTGCAAAGTGCTTCCTCCCTCCACACACACACTTTCAGAAACCATTGGATCTGTTTCTCTGTTACTAGGCTTTCCTGGAATCATTCATAAATATATGTAGACTTAACAGTAAAGTTAGACTAAAAAGGGAACCAAATTTAAAATTTTTATGAATATTTGTAAAATATGTAACTCAGTAACTTTCTTTGTTATTTTTTCATACAGGTACAAAGGCCAGGCACCTGATCTAATAGGTAAACAAGACAGTGTCTATGAAGGTATGTTTTAAAGTTGCACAGGGTATTGTTTTTTCTAAGAGTTACTTTCATGCAAATAAACCTGAAGGTATAATTTTAAAATCTCTTCCAGTTAGATACAGTATTTTAGTTTTGGGGATTTATTTAGTTCAAATCAGAAAACAAAATCAGTGAATTCTTTCCCCTGTCTTTCCACTGTAAGCAGCCGAAAGGGCAAGCACCTAACTTGGGGTTGATAAGGTCTTGTGAGTAGATGTTACATCCAGAATTGCACGTACAAAATCTTACGTTCAAATACCTTTCTTCAGCTGCCTTTGTTGGAGAAGTTAATTAGTGTAAGTTAGCATCCCAAAAGTCTGCCATTAGTCTTGTTCTTTATTTTTTTCCCTTTGTCCAAGCTGAGAGCATCCTGAGGGTGGCTTTCACTTTAAACAGATAATTTCTCATGTGTGTAGAAAACTTTTCCCAGTTGGTTCTGTGATTCTGGTCCATTCTGTAGCTCCTGTGATCACAACTTTGTGATTTACCACATTTGTCTATTTGAGACTAAATGAGTGCTGCATTACTTGGGGCAAGTCTGTCTGCTGTAGATCAAAGGTGTTCGGATTCTATTGTGTGTGGAGTGAGACAGAGCAGAGAGATCAGTAAATATAAGCTGACTTGTGTGTAAATGGCTGCAAGTGAAGGAACTGTCTCACTGAATTGCAGTTAAAGTGGTTTTTCTTTCTTGTTGGGAGTTTTTTTTAATTCCCTGGGAATGAAAAGCAAAAGCCTTGGTGTTCAGTTACAACCCATGAGCTAATGCAGGCTTTTTTGATGAACATGAAAACCAGAAATTTCTAACATCTGTCTTTTCCATTCAGTCTTTTGAAATACACACTTGTTTCCATGATTTAAAGCATAACTGAACACCTGCACTTTTCACTGTGCCCTAGGTTTTGGAGCTGTCTTGTATGTGATGACCCCTGATGTCTGTCCTTTTAAAGAGTAGCTAATTTGATACTTGAGAGAATCTTCCATAAAACATTTGTGCAATATAAAGGTCGAGTTGAATAGAGAGGGCCAAGAACAGGATTTTGTTTTTCTGATTTTCTTTGTTATGTCTATGTCAACATCAGAAACAGAGTTTTTAATTCTGCTGTGCTGTAGATTACAATACACATTTCATACCATCTACTGGGTTTTTTTTAATTAATTGAAATAATTTAATATTTGAGCTTTTGTAACCAAGTCTAATTCTATTTCTCCAATTCTAGAAGACTGGGACATGTTAGATGTGGATGAAGATGAGAAGCTGACAGGAGAAGAGGAGTTTGAGCTGTTGGCTGGGCCCCTTGGGTTAAACGATCGACGCATTGTGCCCGAACCCGTTCAGTTCCCTGACAGTGACCCTCTGGGTGCTTCAGTTGCGATGGTGACAGCCACCAACAGCATGGAAGAAACACTGATGCAGATAGGTACATTTGAAATCCATTTCATTTAAAGAAAGAATGATAATAATAACAGCAGCAGCCGCAGCAATAATGATAACAATCATCACCACCTCCTCTCCTTTTTAGTGGGATTTTTCTAGAGGCAAGGCAGGAGCATCCTGACAGTATTTCCTGCCTGCCACCGTGAGGAAGTGGAGACCAGCTCTGAACTGTCCTTTTATTATAGGGAAATTAGAGAGAGGAGTGTGAGGCTTTATGAATTGACAGGAGGATTGAATTTTGCCAATGAAAGTTGTGACTGTAGTCAAACAGTAGATGCCAGTAACATGTTTTGCAGAACCCAATGAATGGATTTAAGTTGGGACATAAGACTAGTCTCCTCTGATGGAAGAGGGAATCAGAGGAATTAAGATTGAGTATGTCAGATTGTGTTCCTGTCTCTTTGAAAATAAGGAGTAATTAAATTATGGAGTGTATTTTCCTCTCGGTAATTATTATTGTAGTTCGGTATATATGATATACTGAAAAATTAGTAACTTAGGCTGATTTTGCTTCTATGCCTATTACTATATGATAATGTTTGTTTTTCTTTAAACACTAATGCAAATCATCATTATTTCCAAGGCTGTCACGGCTCAATAGAGAAAAGCTCTTCTGGCAGAATAACCTTAGGAGAACAAGCAGCTGCCCTGGCCAATCCCCATGACCGCGTCATGGCTCTCAGAAGAGTGACAGCTGCTGCCCAAGTGCTCCTGGCAAGAACAATGGTTATGAGAGCACTGTCACTTCTGTCTGTCAGGTTTGTGCTGTCTTTGGCATCATTTCCCCCTTTCCTTTTGTAACCGTTTGCCCAGGTCTGTTTGATAACGATGCAATTTCAGACTAATTGGGGAAGCAATTCTCGTGTCTGTACTTACATAATACTGCTAAGAGAAAAAGTTCTGTTGATTTTGTTCTTTTGAACCAAGGGGTTTTATATCCATTTCCACAGTGGTTCCAGTTGCAGCCTGGCAGCTGGCCTGGAGTCCCTGGGGTTGACAGACATCCGCACTCTGGTTCGTTTGATGTGCCTGGCGGCAGCGGGGAGGGCAGGCCTGTCCACGAGCCCGTCCACGGTGTCCAGCTCCACGGAGAGATCCAGGGGCATCCACAGCAAAACCAGCAAGCCCATCTCTTGCCTTGCCTACCTGAGCACTGCAGTTGGCTGCTTGGCATCAAACACTCCCAGTGCTGCAAAGCTGCTGGTGCAGTTATGTACACAGGTAGCACTTCAGTACTTGAGACTGCTACAATCACTTGTGCTTTTACCTTCTCAGCTGCTCTCACTTTAAGGATGTCCTTAGAGTCCTTTTTTGTGGCTTTGCACAGGAGTATGTTTGATTGTTGGTAGAAATGAAGTAGCAGTATGTGTCTTTGCTGAGTACCCTTTTCAAGTGGGGAAAATGAATGTGCTGTTTCTGTTCATAAGATTTTCTGTTAAGGTTTTGGTGTCGCTGAAAGACACGAGAGAACACAAACACACCACCACTCAAGGTGAAGGGAAAAAAGGGAAGTTTTATTCTCTGACTCCAATATTTATAGTTTTACAAAAGTGACAGTGGATTGGAAGGTGACATTGACACCTCTGCAATGACACTGGTCAAACCAACAGTCCATCAACTCTCTCCTCCTCCATAAAGGAATGAAAAACAATGAGTTATTTGCAGAAAGTGTGTGAGAAAGCTCACTACAAGAATGTCAACATCAGAAGGCTTAGAAAATCTTAAAAAACCAGGGTGACATTTTGGTTTTTTAATTCAGTTAATTCTATGCAGAGAACAGAACAATGAAAAACTATAAAACTAAGTGCAATTTATGCAACTGAAAATGTTTCTAAATTTGACGGTTCTGTTTGTTCCGATTATTTATCATCAATTATTTCTTTTCAGAATTTGATTTCTGCAGCAACTGGTGTGAACTTGACAACAGTCGATGATCCAATTCAGAGAAAATTTTTACCAAGTTTTTTAAGAGGAATTGCTGAAGAAAACAAACTTGTCACATCTCCAAATTTTGTGGTTACTCAAGCACTAGTAGCATTGTTGGCCGACAAAGGGGCCAAACTGAGGCCAAACTATGATAAAGCTGAAATTGAAAAGAAAGGTATGATACAGCTTTGTTTTTAAATCTTAATCATTAGATCTTAAGTTCTTCACTTGTATGTAAGGGAGAGACTTGCTAGAATAGTGTATAAATAGATATGCTTTTAAAAATGGACAAAACTTGCTTTGATCAAAGTAATGTTACAGTTTATGATAGACATTTTACTTAGAAATATGGTCTTATTCTGAAATATGGTCTTATTCTGTAATTGCATCTTTCACCACTGCAAAATATAGTCTGAACTTGGGTGTATTCAAAGCCATAGAGCGAGATAGTGAGCCTGGTTAAGCCTCCTCCATGAAATCAAGGAAGGTGACAGTTGATTACCATTACCCAAGTGCTGTGCTGTGTCTGAGGCAGAAATTTGTGCTGCCTGTCCTCTGAGAGGTCAGGGAGCCACAAAGCAACAGCTGTGCCCCCTCCGGGCTGCTGCTGGGATAGAGAGGGAAGGACAGGACAGTGACAGTTTAGAAAGCACTTGCTCTTTGACCAACCATTTTCATATAATGGGAATAAGACTATTTGGAATTCTATTCTTTTTTTTTTACTGTAGTTCACATGATTACAACGTTGTGTTAAGATGCTTGCTAATCTCTTTCTGGAAATGCTGGCTGTTGCTGCGTTCACTCACGTAGGCATCATCTCACTGTTTTGTCTAAGCAGGTTTAATTGCCCATTTGTATGCCCATCCTTGCTATGATCCCTCTGCTGTAGGCCCTCTGGAGCTGGCGAACGCGCTGGCCGCGTGCTGCCT